CTTTGATGTGGTTTTCACGAGCTTAAAGTGGACATTGCATATGTATAATCTGCAAGACTTGAAAATGACATGATCCAACTTAGCTTGACTTTAAATCTTATTCACCGTCACATTACTTTGATTAAAATTTCAGTTTACTGTTTCTTTAGGAAACTGTAAGGTCTTTTCACCGCAGTAGTAATGCAACAATTGCATTACGATTTATGGATAGATTACAAATTTGTAAAATAATAACTATTTTTTAGGGGGCTTACTTCATATACTTCTGAGTATAATTTATAAGTCTTAAGAAATTCGATTTAAATTTTTAACTACCTAGATATTCAAAGACAACAATATTATTATTTTTATAAAAATATGCGAAAACAAGAGAGACCGCTTTAGTCGCCTATCGATACCCATTACTCAGCTACGGGGAATGGAAGGAGAGACAGACTTGTATTTGCTTGACTTTTTAAAGAATGGTCCGAATTGAACAATTTTGGCCTGTAGATGGACATTATAACAAAAAAATATATAAAAAAAAAAAATGTCGTCGACACCAAAACAATTTGTACTTTAAGTTTGATTCAGCCATACGGAATGATGAATGGCAGATCATTCGACTAGTGATCCTGACCAAGAATATATATACTTTAAAGGTTTGGAAACGCTTCCTTCTAATTGTTACATACCGACGGATCCCTTTAACTCTACGAGTACCGGGTATAGGAAGGGTTTTCTTGAGCCCAAAATAAAACATTCTTTTTCTTAAGGTCGGAAATTTGTATGGCTAGATGTCATTCAAAAGTAATCGTCTGCCTGCTAAACTTTGTATCAAACTGAAAAATATATTTTTTGCTAGTCCCGATGCCATCTTTTAACAATCTTCAACTTTTTTTGCAGCCAATTTCTCGAAATAGCATTAGATAAATTTGTATTCTATATCCCCAATAGGCTTCAAATATTGTCAATGAACGCCATCTTTTAGGATTGAATATAGCTGGTCGTGGTGTCCTATAGAAAACAACTCCTGTTGACAATTGCTAAAACACACAGATTTAAAGCTTGACTTCTGAAATTTTCAATAGCGATTAGGAATTCTGAAAACTAGTGCCCCAAGCAGCGGCGAAGCCATGTCTTGGAAAGGCGTTTTCAAAACAAATTTTTATAGCATACTACCACAGACCAATCTTACATGTTCTCCTGATAAAAATGTAAGAAAAATCAAAAGAAGTTTAAGTAAATTCTAGCTTTATTTGGCTTAAAATGTATAAAAAGAACTTAAGGGTTAAAGTTCTTTAATCCTTTTTTAATAGAGCACCACCTCATCGATGCTATACCACCTGGTAGAGTAAATGGGTTTTATCTTACGCTTCTCCACAATATTCGAGAGCAGCGGCACCAAATTAGCTAAATCGAATAGACTGTCCTCGTAAAAGGATAGCAGATTGGCCCACTTTGTTAGCGTCTCGAGCAGCGCCTCGTCCTTGGAGATGCTAAGCAGGGTGAAGTGGGAGGTCAAGAGGCAGCCGAACCATTGCAGGGCTTGAACTTCCGTCTGAACGAGCGAGGAATCCCGGTTGGGTCGCTCCTCTAGCTGGACACTGGGTTCATCGATTAGTGTATACAGGTGGTTCATCAGAAGCTGGACATGGGAAAGCTCCAGCCTCTGACGAAGGTGCTCTTCGATGCCGCTTGCGTCGAAACTGCAGGCTAGCACTGCATTCACCAACTCGTCGTTAGACCGAATTTTCTTCAATGGTTTATCTTTCGCATCGCCATTAACGAGAAAGCTATTTGTGCTTTGATCTAATGCAAAACGCAGCGACCAGGCTAACATTCTCTCAGAAATATTACTGTAGCGACGCAGGCACATTAGCACATGCTCTGTGTTCTCGGTCTTGATAAAAAGTGTGAGAATTTTCTCTATGATCTCCTCTTCGCCGGCTCCACTTCTTTCCAGCTGCCGGACCAAGGCCTGTACAGCTATGTTCTTTGGTCCCGTATCAAAGAAGTTCGTCATAAGAGTGACACTCACGTCCTCCAACCCGTTCTCGCAGCTGGCGATCTCTCCATGGACGTGTTGCTTGATAATTTCATCCATCTCCTGGTCCACTAACTCGGGAGGATCGTAGGCCACATTCCTGCCATCTGCCTTTGGATATCCAGTGTAGGCAGCTGATTTTTTATCTTACATTTTAAAGCTGAGTAGTTGAATGGCTTTGTACTGCCACCAAACTTGATTACGGACTCCAGGTACTCCTCCTCGTTTATGTGATCCAGTTCAATGGGGGTAAGGTGGGTGTCACTAAACTGGGATCCCAGCATATCCACCAAAACCTCTCGATTCATTCGGTACCGCACGGCGGCTATATTCTGTCCCATAGCCAGCAGGATGTGCTCATCGCCAGCCCAAAGGCGCGAGAAGTCCAGGTACACCTTGAAGTACTGCTTGGCATTCACGACTTTAAACTGGGTGTTGTAGACCAACAGCGAGGCGCCCTCCTGTCCGTAGTTTGCGCCGTAGATGGCGGCAAAGTTCCGCGAGACTCCATGCACAGATAACTTGCTCTCCACGTTCAGCTCCGCCAGCATGGACACAAATTGTCCGGGCGACCGCTCCGATGTGGAGCGCACATCCAGATTCAGCATAAAGATACGCTTGTCGGACCCTAGAAATAAAGTATTTAATGAATCAGGGCTTTATGGTAGTTATCGTTGAAGAGACAGTGCGCTCCCCATTTATCTAAGTAAAATGGTTCATGCCATAGACTTCTTTTTTTATAACAAGTTTGCGATAAACGTGTAAACTATTTTATGGAAGCTTATGGAGAAGATCTTGAAATTTTAAAAGACTAGTCAGAAGGATATATTTGTTTGATGGATACTGCACTAATACGAACTAAAAAAGTTGATAGCTAGCTAATGCACAATCTCCTACCCATCTTAGCCTGACAATGCGGTTATAATGCACACTACTCACAGATAGTTAGAAGTTGGGGGGCTGTGTCGCCCTCGACGACGGCATAGCCTGTGGGGCGGACCTCCTCCCGTTTGATGAGATACTGCCGCCGACTGAAGTTGGTCAAGGAAGCCGGATGAGCTGCAGTTCGCCAGTTGCCTTCGTTTCTTCGAAATAGGTTAGAACCTGCTGACCCTGGGCCAAGGTGTAAACCGAGGGCTTGTGATGACCTTGCTGTTGGCAAGAGTAAGTTGCTCAGCCGTGTCCTCCTTTTGATCCTTGCGAGAGGCTATCGCCTCTGAGAGCGTTTGGCAATGCCCATCGCTGAAGAGGACCAAGGCCTCCTGGTTGGTTTCTACCAGATGGGCAATGCTTTTTTGGAACTGCAAGGTAGGGTAAGGTAGTGAATACCATGGTTAAGCAATTATTGTGTATCCGTACCTTCAGTTTCTTGCACTTGGTCACATCACTGGTGTCCACATCCCACATACGCAGCGAGTGGTTTCCGAAGACGCCCACATATTTCTGGCTGATGCGGTCGTAAATAACCTTGGAGGATAGCTTCTCCGGCAGGGACCAACTGAGCAACTGTTTTTGTGTGCTGATCTGCGGGAAACGACATTCATTGTTTGGAAACTATGTATTCTTTGAGCCCAGAACTCACATTCAAAACTACCACAACATTGCGAGCGAGTGTTGTAACTACATTCCCTTCTCCCTGTCCGCGGCTAGACCCAAAAACTCCTTGGGGTCCGGTATGGGAAACAGGTTGTAATAGGACAGGAACTTGGACATTATTTAAGCTAAGTAAAATAAAAACAATTGCAACACGTGCAAACTAGTGACGATATCTATCGTTGCGTTATCGACGTTATCGATGGTTTAGCGAGCACCCCAGCGGATACACCAACCAAGCAAATATATTCAGCCTGGGCCCAAGCCATATCATAACAAAATTTCAGAATTTAAATTAAGTATATAAGTATCCTTTTAGCAGAACCACCACTAATACAATCTCCGACGAGCTCTCCATTGGAAAACGCAGGACTCCACCTTCACCAGCTACTTGGCTGCTTATTCGAACTGGAGGATGCCTATAGGGAGGAAAGAAGGCCTCCCGGTTAGGGACAGCTGGAGGAGCCATTACCAGCCATTACTAGGATGCTGGTCGACTTCCTGCAGCATCAGGTCCATATGCTTTTTGGGATTCGGAGCTGAGCTGCAGATGGCTCGGGAAAGATGCCGAAGCATCCGGAGACGAGAAGGAAGCTTCAAACTACTATTTTACATAAATAAAATATTCGTTATTTTAGTTTCTTTGTGCACCAGCACACTCTTCCTTTTCAAATTGCCCCAATTGATTTGTTTTCCGTTTGTCAACAACTTTGAAAACTTCGCTCACATCTACAAAGAATACGATTTTTCGACTAGTGAAACTATTAGCCGATCTGCGAACTAAGCTTATGGAGGAAAAAGTAGGGTATATAACGTTTTTCATTGTTATACCCGTTACTCGTAGATAAAAGGGTATACTAGATTCGTCGGAAAGTATGTAACGGGTAGAAGGAAGCGATTTCGACCTATAAAGTATAAATAGTCATGATCAGGATCACTAGCCGAGTCGATCTAACCATGTCCGTCCGTCCGTCCGTATGAACGCTGAGATTCGGAAACTGTAAGAGCTAGAAATTAGGGATTTGGCATGCAGATCCTTGAGCTTTTTTCGCAGCGCAATCAGCAGGGTGCTACGTCCACTCTAACGCCCGGAAACGCCCATAGCACCCACATTTTAAAAATTGTTGTAATTTTAAATGAGATCTTGTTTAATTATAAATGTCCATATATATGCCAACAATTTTTCAATGTTAAAATTGTGTGCCAGAACAGCTGTTTTTGTTTATTTCCCTGTTGATAAACCGTCAATAATTGGCAAATCGGTAAAAATTACCTACAAATACCAAACAAGGGAAAAATACCGAACTTTACAACCACCCTAGTGTAAATAGGCTCTAAAATAAAAACAGAAAAGAGGCTGCCAGACAGCTAAAAAATACGAGGAACCAGAGTTGCCGGACCTGCCACGTGCTATCGATAAGAAGAAGAGTCAGAAATGGGTGGAAAGACAAAACAAGCGCCGCGCACCAAAAATAATGCAAAGGTAAGACGTAATTAATCATAATTATAGTACTTACACATGGAATCATCACCCCACCACCTAGCCCTCAAGCAGCAGCCGCACTGCCGAGCTGTTGGGCAGTTCCACGCCCATTTTTGTGGGCTTCTCAGCGCAGACGGATGGCGGTGGCCTAGTGCCATTTGCTCCGGGATTCGCCAGTGCCGAACAAATGCCAGATAGCTTCGATGCAGCGATCAGTCCACAGATGCAGATTATCCTGCGCAAGCTGTCCAAGAAGGACCCAATGACCAAGAAAAAGGCCCTGCAGGAGCTGCACGAACTGATCGAACAGTCGGACTTGGAGGCCCTTAAGAACATCCTCCCTCTGTGGCCCAAGTACTACCTGAATCTGGCCAGCGATCCGGAGCACAATGTCCGGGAGTTGACGCAGACGGTACTGCAGTTGCTCATGGCCAAGTGCAAGAAGGCGATGGCACCGTATTTAAAGTTGCTCGTTCCCGTTTGGCTCGGCAGCCGTTTCGATACCTACGCTCCTGCCGCCAGCATCGCGGGGCAATCCTTTCGAGACACTTTTGCGGGGAACGCCAACCGCACCAGGGAGGTGTGCCTGCATTGTCAGGTGGAGATCCTCGAGTACGCCACCCGCAACCTGACCTTCCACACAGCCGCCACTCTGTCGATCGGAAAAAGTCTTACTGCGGAGGATGCGGAACAAAAGTACCAGCGCGTGGTTATCAGCAGTCTCAAGTTGTTGTCCTTCTTCATGGAGCAAACGTCGCAGACGGGGGAGCTCAGCCAGGTCAAGGAGGGGTTCGTCAATCTGGTGACGCACCAGAAGTTTTGGAGCTTTGCCAAGCACAAAGTGCCGCCCATAAAGTAAGTATACTTAAAAGTGGACAATCCAAACCTTACATATTTACTTAAAATTATTTTTAATCTTAAAGGGCCGCCTGGTTTGAGTGCATCTATCACGTCCTGCAATCGGTTGCCCTTATGGAGGTAATCTCGCCTCAAAAGGCGCAGTTGACCACCCTCTGTTTTCAGTTTATAGACGATGCTGATCCCGTGGTGGCTCCTCACATATGGGGATGTGTTTTGCTCCTACAAAGCAACTACGAAGATTGGTAAGCTATCAGCCTTTCAATATTATTCTTCAGCTTTTACTCCTTTTTTTTTGCAGGTTTGTTCCGCTCAACATTCGAAAGGCTCTCCTGCCTAAACTTTCCTCCCTTCTCCGCAACGGTTTCAATCGGAACGCTCAGGCCATCTGTCCGAATCTACTACCATTCCTGTCTAAGATTACCCAAGCCTCCCTCCAAGATCTGGATATCTATGATTTCTATCAGCGCTTCTTTGACGACATGAAGACGGCAGTCACGGAAAAATTCGATCCCCCGCTACCCAAATCCGATTGTACTGTAATTCACAATGCCTATTTCGAGTGCCTACGTTTCCTGCTGCAGCAGATTAATAACAACAAAGAGCGTGAGCAGAAGGATGAGGAATTCGCAACAAGCTTACTACAAAACAACGTACTGGAACCTATTGGATGGCTGCTTAAGAGCGACAGTGCGCATGTGAAGATCTTTTTCCAGCATAGTTCTGCACTAGTGGCCTTTTGGGATCGGCAGATCAACAATAGATTGGATAATGGTGGCCTCTATGCCAAGTTGCTGAACCAGTTCTGGACACGTATTTTCGAGCTGGTCACCCAAGATCTGGCTGCCGAGCAGGTGAACGAGCAGCTGCTATCACATGTCCTGCTCTTAGTTCAGGATCTGCATGTGGCGAACCCTAGCCTGGACACTCCGAGTGTAAAGTTTGCGGAGGTGCAAGATGAAAAGGTGGAGAAAAGCGAACCCACCACGCCAGTCAAAAAGGCTCAAGAAGCTGCGGCTTTTATACAGAAGGAGCTGAAGCAGTTGGTGGTGAAGTTGGTGAGAATCTGTCTTGATAAGGCTAAGAACAGTGGAAGTGGTAGTTCATCCTCGCGTTACATAGAGCAAATTCGGACCCTCACCAAAATGTTTACCGATGCTGCCTTTTACAAGAGTTTAACTGACGTCGGAGATCTAGAAGGAGCACTCGATAAATTTGTTTCATTGCTGGAACAACTGGATAATGACGCTTGCGAATCTGTGGTGGAAATCGTATTTGAGATTTTGCCGTTGGTAGCGTCGGATAAACGATTTGAATATATTGAAAACACGCTCATGAAGGTAAGTATTGATTAGAAAAACGTGAATGCATTCTAAGTTTTTTTTCCCTACAGCTACCACAACATCGCGTGCAAAACCTTTTGCTCCACCGTCTACTATCGTATCCGCTGTGTACTGAGCCGGCAGTAAGGCAGATGCTCAGTGGCTCGGAAGTTTGTGCCGTGATTGCGCGGATTGCAGGAGAAGTTGTGGTGGACAATGATCGAGAAAAGCTGAACTTGCTTCACAAATGCTTCTTCCAAACGGACACGGGAGACATACTCATCAATGCTGAAACTGTGGATAAAATACTGCTGGCCATGTGCGGGCCCCTCGAGCAGCCCCTTGTCGACGACATGGTGGAAGTGTGTGGCAGCTTTATTGCCCAGATAATGCCTGTGATTTGCAGCAACGAAAACTCTTCATTGCGCGTGCGCCAACAGATCTTTCTTAGCCTGTTTAAATTTAGTTTGGAGCATCGGCCAGAGGATTATTTGTCGGAGGATACTCTGTGGGAAATTACCACCTGCTGGCAGGATGCACTTTCAAGTAAAGACATTGAGATCAGTGATGACATGTTGAAGTCTTGTGCGAAAATTGTTGGGAATTTGGCAAATTCAGTTGAACTGAAGGCGGATAGTCTCGACGGAATGGCAGAGGCAATGGCCAAGTTTGTCATTTGCTCCACGGAAAATATTGTGGACGAAAAGAAACGCTTGGAACGAATTGACACAACAATAGCGGCTCTTTGGAATCCCCCCTGAAAACATTTGAAAAGATTCAGAAATTTGAGAACCATGTCGTGCTTCTGGAAGCCCTCCGAGGATCTGTTAGTGCGGGAGTTCCCTTCGAAAGCGCTTCCCTTGCCAAGGATGAAATATTACCATTACTTCAACGTTCCACCCTTAACTTTTCAACCATCTACAAACTTGTCTATCAATACCCTCCAACTCAAGACACAAACGATCCTGAAGACGAGTTGACCGAGGATTACTGTGATCCAAATGCCGATGTGCTTAAGATCTGGAACGAACCCTTAATTGCTGAACTTATTCAGTGTATTCGCGTAGCAGGAACGGCAGAGAGCTGGCTGGAAGTTTCAGAGTTGCAATTGTCTGCGGAGGAACTTGTGTTGATCCTATCGGAGAAGGTTCATAGCTTTATGGGCAACAGCAGCGATTTGGTTGGAATAGTCAAAGAGCGTCTTCAGCAGGATGCAGTCCAGCAGTCCAGTGTGATAGGATGTCGCCTTCTGAGCTACTTTACATTTTGTCCTCAGTATGCGGCTTTCGAAGAAAGTGCCTCCATTTTGCTGCACGAGGATCTTTCGGAGTCCTTGGTGACGCAGGGAGCCCTCAAGACCTATGTGATGGCATTACAGGTAAATATGTTAAAATTAATCCAAGATTGCTATTCAATCCTCTTTGTTTTGCAGTATCTTCTGCCTAAGCTTTCCCAAAAAGCAATCACTCTTAATTCGGCCATAATGAGAACGGAACCACCTGAGATTTGGGTAAAGGCAGCCGTTTTCCATGCCCTACTGTTAAACAACTTTGAAGCCGAGGTCAACGAACAAACAGATCGTAATATTATTGTATCAGCCGTGCAGTTTATGACCAGCATAGGAGAGAAGCAAGCCATCCAAAAGGATTTACTCCATTACAATGTGTAAGACAATACAGATTTTTTTAAATGGATAGTTTCGCTTTAATTTTAAAGCGTACCAAATGTTTTTCAGGGAAATACACAAACAACCCTATGAGTCTGTTATAAATACAGTGGAGTTCATCAAACTTCTTACTGAAGTTTTAAAACGGTTTCCCTACGAGCTGAGCATAAAAAACTGGGATGCTATTCGCATAGGTCTTAGTTCTTGGATTCTCTCCGTTTCTAAATCCATAGCTCATTTCAAAGATCCAAAGGTGGGTTTAAAAAATAATTTATTTTCTGAATTTCTAAGCAAGTGTACTTCCATTTCCAGACTTCTCTTTTTGTTGTGGCTGTTTATCAATTGTTTGCCTCCTTGATTGAATTTGTACGCTCGGAGAAGCAGAAGAGTTCGACGGAATTACTCAAAAACATGATCGATGAATGGGACTCTCTGTTTGCCAAGGAAGTCAATGTAGTGCTCTTCAAGTCATTTTATCAGTTGACTCACGAAACGAGTGTAGAGCCAGGATTTCAGGCGTGCTATGAAGCCTTGCTGGAACGCCTTACGCCTACCCTAGAGCTTCTGGATTACAGTTTTGTTTATTCAGTAAGTAGAGGGGAAAGAATTGTAATATTCATATTGCACAATTTGGCATTTCTAAAACTTAATATTCCTTTTAACTTTTCAGTTCTGCAAGTCGAATAGCAACATCAGTCTGGACCACCTGTGTAATTTCCTGTTCAAGCAACTCTATAGTTACCAGCACTCGGTTCGATTAAGTGCCGTACACTCCCTCCGCCAATTAACGCCACACTTTGTAGCCGACGACATAGAGTTGAATGAGAAGCAGAGCGAGAGTCTGGACGCCTCAAGCACGATAACCAAATGGCACTTCCTCAATCGTTTTGAGGACTACCTGACCCGCTACGATATCCTGATACGAAAATACCTGGATGAGTTCACTTTCAAGCTAGCGGAGTTGGAAGATCTAGAACCGATTGACAGACATGATGCACTAAGCTACCTTTTCTTATGGGATTGTATTATTAATGCCTGCGCCAAATCTCCGGTTGCTTTGCGAGCTGTCTACACCAATTGGCTGAATGATAACAAATACGAAGAGGTTGGAAAACAATACGTAAAATTTACTTTTGATTTCGGGCTTGCACTTTAAATTTTCTTATACGCTTTACAGAATTTTCTACATTTCCTCTTCCGCGCGATGCCAGTGGACATACTTAAAAATCACGGGGCTAAGGTGCACAGCAACGGCGTTTACAAGGAGCTCAGTTGGTCTCAGCTGAAGGGTAAGCTGAATCTTAATTAATTATTGTTTCCTCCGACAAATCGGTATTAAGCACGTCGGGTAAATAGTCCTCCCCATATCCGTAATCATATTCGGCGGCTCCATGCTCAACATCCTCCATCATTTCCTCGACACCTGGTTCATCGGATACAGAAATGAAGTCCGACAAGGGCACAAATTGCTCGGGATCGTTCTCTGCCATCATTTGTCGTTGGACGGGTATCTGTTGAGGCGCCAAGTAAATGTTCAAGTTCGATATGAACTTGTTGATCCAAACAGTTAGGTTGTTGGCCAATATTCGCTGATACTCGCGTAGATTACTGGTCGTGTAGAACTCTTGATCTGTCGAAGGATTGTTTTAATTAACAACAAAATCTGGCAGCTAGCTTTGTTAGCACTCACCTGTAAACTCTCGAAGTCTCTCAAGAATTACACAACATAGGGGCGAGTTTTCGTCCACAATAAACTGGTCATTGAGAAGGAAGTCCTTCATTTCCTCGAACAGAACGCAAATGATCTTCTGCATCTGTTTCCGCTGGCGCAAAAGAATGCGCTTCTTCAGGCCCTTGCATCTGCGCTTGTGGACGCGCTTTGCCGCCCTTCGCTGACGCATCTCCTCCTCCATGTACTCCAGCGCCTTCTCCATTGACATGGCTTCCACCGGCGGCTTTGGCTTCATCTGGTTCTCTAGAGCGGCTATGTGCCGAGGCGAGAGGTACTCCTTGAAGAAATTGTAGGTGTCACTCACTCGCATCGGGTGCGGATCGGCCAGGCGCTCCACACGGGCTGTGCATTGGTTCACAAAGATCTTCTTGGTGTAGTAGCGCGACTGCTTGGCCAACTGGGGAGAGGAGAAGTCCTTCTTGGGCGTAGCCAAAAAACATATGTGCTCCTCCCGGGACAACACGTCCCGGTCAATGATGATCTGTCCCGTGTGCTGGCAGGGCACATAGCAAGGATGGTAGCGAGGACAGACGCAAATGAACCTGTAGGTCAATAGGTAGATATAGATTTATTTGCGAGTCCTGCAAAAAAGCAATTTGAAAGCAAGCAGTCAACGCATTTTCAGTAGCTGCTAGATCTTGAATGATCAGTGTTTACTGTAAATTAATTAGTCTTGTACTTGCCTGTACAATGCCTGGGTCTCGTTGGTGGGATACTTGACTAGGCGACGAATGCGCTTGGCGCGAGCCTCGCGCACATGCACCATTGCTAGGCGGGCGTTGAGCTCGTCCGCCACGGTGGGTCCCTCTTGAAGGGCGTCCTCCGGCTTGTGCTCCTTGCGCGTGTCGCACTGGGTCTTCAGGAAGTTTATGGCCTCGGCCACCGTAACCTCGCCCTCGAGCTTGATCCGCTTGGCCGGAGGCATCTCGGAGGGCATTTCCTTGAAATTTATTGGCTTGGCCATATTTTCAAATAAATCGGAAATCCAAAAAAAAAAAATGTTCAATACACTAAACGACTGGAGACAATGAAGCAAAGCGAAGTGTTTATAAATATAATTTGACTTCCCACTGCCTGGCTTGCCTTGATCCATATACAATTATTTTATTTTACAGATCGCAAGCTACCACTGGAGCGATATGTTTGCCACCTGTACACGGAGGTGCTCCGGAAGCTGCCGGCCGTGGTGCGCAGATGGTGGAACACCACCCAGTCCAGGCAGAAGAACTTCGTGGACAACCTCACCACCAACTACGTGAGCTCTCTGATTTGCAGCGAGGAGCTCAAGGCGATCGCCAATCGCAAGGAGAAGCACGAGAACATGCAGGTGAGCTGGCTGTCACCGATCGATTCCTACTCTTGCCCTTGAGAGCTTAGACGCAGGGAAAAAACCACGATTATGCTAATCAGGAGTATAATAATGACAATAACACGGAAGATCTCAAGGGTCACCATGTCTCTTTAAAGAGGGATATTTTCTACCGCTATGTAAATCTCTTTAGACAGAAAACTCCCTGGGCTAGCTCTGTATCCTAAAGAAGCACAGACTACTGGAATTGGAATCTACATGATTTATTTGAGTGATAACATCGCCCTTTTTGTACTTTTAGGTCACTGTCCACTCCTCCACTCGCGAAGTGCTGGCGGTCTATGCCATCGATGAGGCCCGCATGGAGCTGGTCATAACACTGGCCCCCAATTATCCGTTGGGAGCTGTAAAGGTCGAGTGCGGCAAGCAGATTGGTGGACGGGCTTCATCCCGGAATGTGGGCATGCAGTTGACCATCTTCCTGACCCATCAGGTATTTGTATAAAATTTTGCAAACACAATTTTCTAAGAACATGTAAATAGCTTATAAATCCACCAGTCAAATCAAGTTCAAGTTTATAAATAGACAGTGTTAATAACAATAATGTAATAACTTTATTGCAGAACGGCACCATATACGATGGCCTGACCATGTGGAAAAACAACCTGGACAAGAAGTTTGAGGGCGTGGAAGAGTGCTATGTTTGCTATACCGTCATCCACCAGGACACTTGTCAGCTGCCCAAGCTCACGTGCAAAACCTGTAAAAAGAAATTCCACGGACCTTGTTTGGTAAAACTCCTTTAACTTGGTTTACATTTCCTCGGGACTAACAGTGTCAATTCTTTCAGTACAAATGGTTCACCACAAGCAGCAAGTCCACCTGTCCCATATGCCGTAACGTCTTCTAGATATGTGTATATACATATAGATACCAGCTAAATCATTAGTTGACAACACGTATTAAGCAAAAGGCACAACCAAACCATTCAATGTAGGCAATAGTTTCTGGTCTCTCAAGTTGTAAATCGGCAATAATAATAAATCGTACATGTTTAAATGTTCTTTATGAGATGTTAAGTGCATGGATTGAATTTATTTAATTGTAAATAACATATTTGCGCATTAAAGATTTAAGAGAAATAATAAAACGAGCCTTAAACTTGGTGAACACTATGTGGTGAAAGGCAGGCTCAACAAAAATGATCAAGTGAGCTTATATAAAAACTTCTTCAACCATGTCAGTACTTTCTTTAGAATTACACAGTTAACACTAGGACTAGTACAATATTTTGTGAACTATGGGGACAAAGGTAGAAGTTATAGCCACATGTCCATTTTGCGATCGTCATGTTTCTGGAGACTTAAGACCAATTAACACGCTATCCGCAAGTGACGCCAAGAGATATCTCAACTGATAAACAAGGAACCACCTCCGATTCAGTCGGACTTCCATGAGAAAGTGGAAGACGGATTGCAAAAGTGGAAAGATTCTAGATGCAGAAAAGGGCGAGTCTTGAAGAGGAAGATGGAAAGTCGAGAGAGTTCGGAATCTGGGGATAGCATGGAAGAAGGTTCAAGTTCACAGCAGAAATTGGAAGGAAATTCTTGTTCACAGCAGAAACTGGAAGAAGATTCTTGTTCACAGGAGAAATTGGAAGAAGATTCTGTTCACAGGAGAAATTGGAAGGACATAGTTCACTGTCGGAGACGGGTTCTGGAGAGGACGACACATCAGAAAATTCTGTAGACGCTATAACTGAAAACATTTTGGCTTTGGTCGAGGAGGAGTTCGAAGTGATCCGGCATGCGGGGGATCGTCAAAGATTTAAGGGGAAATGCCGAAGTAATCATGGCCATGTTGACAGAAGAGCAGGTTATTATTGACAAGATTGAAAAGCAGGCAGCGAGGGCTTGTCAGCGGGACACTGAAGAGCCCCCGGCTAAACGGAGGAAATGTTAATTGATAGAGATTTAATTAAATTACATTATTATAGACATTGGTTGAATAAAGAGTAAAATTGTAAGCCGCCCACGTGCTGACCTTTACATTTAGACCACCACCCGCCGGAATTAAACCTCCCTTCTTGCGCCTGCGCCTTGGAGAACTGACTCCTGGGGTGGGGCCCTCAGCACATGATGACTCGCTTTCGCATCGGTTTTGCTCAGTGCTGTAGTTTTGCAAGCTGCTAACTGGGATTACACACGCCATCGACTCATCCAACTGGACTACCAAGTCCACAAGATGACGTAAGCCCAACGCTTATATGATGAGCCCCCGGGAACTGAAACTTGGCCAGCGCGTTGAGGTAACGGGTAAAAATCTGCAGGGCACGGTTGCCTATGTGGGACGCACTAGTTTCGCCGCCGGACTCTGGTACGGCGTGGTTCTGGACGCACCGCTGGGTAAAAACAATGGGAGTATCCACGGCAGCGTCTACTTCAAGTGCCCCACCAATTGCGGTCTCTTCGTGCGTGCCCAGCAGCTGGTGAGGATTGCCGAGTTGCCGAAGGGAGCGGATAATCGAAAAACCGATGAAATGCAGCGTGACGGGGCGAGAGCGAAACTTTCGAGGCGGAGCGGCGGGGGAAGGTCCGTGGAGGAGCAGGTGAGTAATGCATGTCGAGAGGTTCCGAGTGGATAAGTAAGCTCAGCAATTTCCTGCAGGATAACCCGAGGGAGCAGATGGCCAGCACATCTGGCAAGGCGAAGGCTACGGCTTCTACGCCGTCACCGCAGCATAGGAACAGGAACACCCAGTCCTCTAAAGAGCCGGCACTAGCGAAGACTTCTGGAAAGTTTTTGGCGAGCCAACAGCTACCTTTACAGCTTCCAAAGGTGAGTTGTGGAAATTCAATTGAATACATATAATATAGGTCAAACCAAATGACCATTTGTGGGTATACACTCTTTAAGAACTTAAAGAACAAGAATGAGAACAGAAACTAAGACTTCGAGATAAATGTTCTTTAAGATACATTAATATCTATACTATCGTCGTACAAAATGTATTCGCGTTCAGTCCTAAAAATAATTTAAAAATATATTTTTCGACCATTAATTTATAATTTTTTAGAAAATATTTAAATGTGTTGTTAATATTAGTCAAACTTGTTCCAGAATCCAATGGTGACTGAAGTCAATTCGCAAGTGGAGGACGTCGAAGAAATAAAAACCTCTCCCAAAAGGAGTGAAGCCAAAAAGCCATCTAAGGATATTAATAGGCAGGAGTCCAAGGACTTGCCACAGCACGCAGGAAAGGAAGATGAGGCTGGGAAGAAGAAAGAAGAGCCCCAGAGCAAGGATGCACCGAACTCGAGGCAGGAGCCGTCTGCCAATCCGCTCCAGACAAGCACAATCGGCGAGTTGCCCGCACAGAAGGTCAGTGCCCAACTGACGCCGCCAAACATGACCTGTAACCAGAGGCGATCCACATCCTACACCCAGTTGAGACCCACGCGGATTAGCCAACCCAAGCCGACTACAGCACAGGCCCAGAGCTCCACGGCACAGCTCACTTTGGCCATGCCGGTGCCCCTGGCCTTGGCTCCCAAGCGCAGCAAGACCAGCATGAGTCCCACGAGCTCGGTGAAGCGGGCTGCGCCAGCCGCCTTTGTGGAACCGCGCTTCCTGGAGATCCTGAGACCCCAGTTCACCCCAGGGCCAGCTCTCCGAACTCCCAGCTCGGTCGCTCCACCCTTGGATAACCCCGAGCTCCGCCAACTAAAGGAGGAACTGCAACTTCTGAGGGTGCAGAAGAGCGAGGACAAACTAAAGCTTCTGGAGCTGGAGCGGATGCGGATTCACAACGAGCAGCTGATGGAGTTCAAGTCGCAGATCATGACGCAACAGGTACTGCTCCAAAGGGAGCTGCAGAGATCACGACACGAACTAAGGGAGGCCCAGGATGTTTCCTCCAAATTCAAGAGGGAGCTGGACGAGATAGCTGAGAGCATAGAGCTGCTCACCCTGGACAAGGAAATGGCGGAGGAGCGCATGGAGACCCTACAGATGGAGCTGGAAATGGCTCAGGAAAGAAACGACGAACTCAGCCTGGATGTGGAGATCCTCAAGGCGGAGCAGGAGGAGCAGCAGGGCCAACGCATTGAGAAAAGTGAGAAGCACTCGGGTGTAGGAGTTGTTACCCAATCAGCCGGCGAGTTCCTTCGGTTGGAGCAGTACAACCAACGCCTCCGGGAGACTGTGGTCCGCCTGAGGGACACTCTCGCCCAGGAGAAGCAGATTGGCCAAAAAACGCACAAGGAACTTGAGACTAAGCACTCGGAGATCAACGAGCTGAAAAGCATTAAGGAATTGCTTAGCAGAAGGGTGGACAACATGGAGGTGCAGCTCATGGATCTAAAAGAGCAGGTAGATGCTTCACTCGGAGCTGAGTCCATGGTTACGCAGTTGGCTTCCCTCAAGCTAGAGCTGGAAGATCGCGTCAAGCTTCTGGAAGACGAAGTCAACGAACTGGAGGCACTGGAACAAATCCAAGAACAACTTATTGAGAGTAACCAAGAGCTGGAAACCGATCTGCGTGAGGAAATCGACAAGCTGGGCGGTCAAGTGAAGATCCTTGAGCAGCAGAAGAACGCAGCCATGGAGAGTCTTTATGACCGCGATGTGACCATCATGAAGTTCCGGGATTTGGTCAGGCAACTGCAGGAACAACTCCAACTCCGCGCGGACGGCACCCTGTCCATCGAGGACTTCAGCAGTGCCAACGAGTCCCAGCAGGAGGAAGGTTCCAACCAGAGTCAGACGGACTACCAGCACATTTTCAGTGTGAGCAAGGCTTATGGAAGGGCGCTGGAGCAGCAGATCAAGACTGTGGAGCTGAGATTGCAGCGACAGCATCTGGAGCACGTCCTGGCCTTCGTCCCCGAGCAGTTCCTTCTGCGCGGAGGGGAGCACGACGTGGTGCTGGTCATGCTCCTACTGGAGCGGATGAATGAGAAACTGACCATCGTGTGCCAGGCCATTAACGAGAAGTTTCCCACGGCCTGCGAATTTGGTGAGTGCCATTCTTAACTTAGATTAGATAGATACTTTTCTGATCTGCTTACAACTACATTTTTATACCCGTTACTCGTAGAGTTAAAGTTAAAGTTAAATATTAAACAACAAGCCTAAATGCCATTTTATAGCAAGTCGTAGAGAAGCATTTACATGGTACTCGGCTGAAGCAATGATTGTCTTAATAGGCACTAGTAGAATCATGTGCGCCAGTTACCTGCCATAACATTTTGAACAATTGCTCATAACTGTTGATTGAATAATCAGATTTGAACAATTTGAATTTTGGATGGGTAGATAAATATAGATTTTAAATTTTCTCTTTAGACTATTTGCTAAATTTTTTCTAAAATAAAACGAAAGCTATTTTAACGCATTTTCTGCACTTTGCTTCTATTTATTTATCTAAAACTAAACTTCGTAATTTGTTCGTTTCTATTTACAATAATTTAGTTAGTCCGAATCGTTGTACAGTCAGTTTGGTCAGCTCCTTCACCACCACTTGCTGCTCTTGTCCTCCCACTTGCTGCCGGTGTCCTGTTTCACCTCAGCGTAGCTGGTGGCATGGCCATGTCCGTGTCCGTACTCCTGTCCATGTCCATGTCCATGTCCGTGTCCGTGTCCGTGTCCGTTTCCGTGTCCGTGACTGTGCTCGATGTGGTCGGCGTGTCCAACATGCTTCACGGTAGCCTGGAATCCGTGGTGGGAATCGGCAGTGTACTCCACGATCCTGGTGCGCCCATCGGCCTCCTTCATGGTGTATCCCCCTTGACCTTGTCCCCATCCCGGGTCTCCCACTGCTGCTTGATGTCTCCGGTCTTGGTGTCCTTCACTCCGTAGCCGAATTCGTACTTGGGGTGGTGCTTGGGCTCCTCGTGGTGGCTCCACTGGGAGTGGCTGTCGTGGGAAGCCACTGGTGCCCACTGCTGGTGGTGATCCTGCCACTTCTTGGGAGCCTCGTGGTGCGTCTGGATGCTGTATCCCACTCCGTGTCCTTGATTGTATCCTCCGTGGGGGATATAGCTGGCAGCAGCCACACCGAAAAGCGCACAGCAGAGGATGGTTAGTTTATAAGCCATTTAGGTTTGTTACTGTTCGACTTGCTTGGCCTGAATTAGAATGAAAACTGTATTAATCAGTAGACTAAGCTCAATGCTTTTATACCTCAGCCCATTCTTCCGATCTCGAGGTTAATTGGCTCGAAAAAAGAAAGAGACCGATAAATAGGTAATAGGTAAGCCAAATGCTTCAAACTTTGGTAAACTTTTCATTTTTACCATTCATAATCTGGTTTTGTCGACAGTCAAATTAAATGTGTCTACAAAAACAAAGGCATCAACAATAATAACAAATCATAATACCTTTGCGTTAAGGGGGTTTATGGGCGTTAAAGTGGGGGTGGAAAAATGTTTTTTTTTTTTTTTACTTTTATTAATGTGGAAATTTTATTCTTAGGATTAGCACACTGCTACCCGACTGGCAGCTTAATCTAATCTGTTTTTTCAAAAATAGATACAATACTTAGTCTAAGGGTTCCTTAAGGCAAGAAATAATTTCGTTATTTTTAGTTATTTGATATTAATATTGAGGGTGGTGATGTTGCTAGGTCAAAATCCGGTCCGGTAGGTCTTGAGGGTGGTGTCTTTTTAGTCTTCTTTTGACTCGGTTGCTTGGTTCAGCGCTGTTTATAGCAGCGGTACCAAGTTTTCTGGCTAGGCTGTTGGGGTGCTCGTTTAGCCTTTCCATATATTTTCGAGAAAGTTCCTGCAGCTTGTCTCCAAGTTTGGGCACATTGAGATCCCGTTCGATGTCTCTGGTTCGCATAAACCACGGAGCTCCAGAGATGGTTCGAAGTGTTTTCGCTTGCAAAACCCGGATTTTGTTGAGGTTGGTTTTTGCAGCGATGCCGTAAACCTGGAGTCCATAGAAAAGACTGGGCGCTAGTATGGACTTATAGATTTGAACCTTACAGCCAAGTGCGAGCTTGTTGCGTGGTGCGAGAAGCCAAGCCATCCGAGCAACTTTGGTCCTGAAGGAGTGTTGGATACACGTAATGTGCCTGCCAAAAGTGAGTTTTTTGTCCAAAGTGACACCGAGGTACTTGTATGCAGGAAGGGCTCTGATTGGACTTTCGTTGAGGCTGACTCCAGGGCAGCTACTTCGGCGGTTGGTGAACGTTACATTGGCACATTTGTCCGCGTTTACTCGAATGTTCCAGTTCATGGCCCATTGGTGAAATGCGTCCAGATACTCTTGCAATGCAAATGTGGCAGCCAAGATACTTTTGCTTTTTGTCAGGACAGCAGTGTCGTCGGCGTAGGTCGCAATTAGCACGTCTTGTTCCTCAACTTCAGTGATTGGAGTTTGTGTAGGCATATCTGAAGCATAAATTGAGTAAAGAGTAGGGCCGAGGACGCTACCTTGGGGAACTCCGGCAGAGATCGGTTTGGTGGACGACTTGTACCCATCGGCAGAGACGTGGAAAGTGCGTTCTTCCAGGAAGCTTTTCACGAGCTGGAATAGCTGTGGCGTAAAAATACTTTTGGCTTTGTACAGGAGCCCAGGGTGCCACACTCTGTCAAAAGCCTGCTGGATGTCAAGGAAGGCAGCAACTGCATACTCCTTCTTCTCCAAGGCTTCTAAAACAAAGTTAACAACTCTGTGTAATTGCTCAGGAGTTCCGTGTTGAAGACGAAAGCCAAACTGGAATTCCGGAATCGCACTGGTGACATTCTCGTAAGTGAGTAGCCTGTTCAGGATCAGCCTTTCCATGATTTTTCCCAAGGATGGTAGAAGACTAATAGGCCTATATGAGTCCACGTCAGTCGGCGATTTACCTGGTTTTGGGATCATGATTATATTCGCCTATTTCCAAACTTTCGGGAAGTATCCAAGAGTTATTACGCTGTTGAATAACGACACCAGGAATTGCAAGGCTTGATCCGGTAAAAGTCGAATCGTCCTGTTGTCCAGAAGGTCTTCCCCGGGAGTTTTCTTCGGTGAAAGTTTACCTACAAGGTCTTTTACCTCTGTCAGTGTGACAGGGTTAGCAGGCAGGCTCATTTGAAAGGGAGATTCCAGGAACTCATCAACTTGTCGACGTATGCTTTCAGGCGAATAGTCGTAAGGCTTGAAACGTTGTTCGAGGTTGTTAGCGAACGCTTCAGCTTTCTCTAGGCTCGTGCGGCACCAGCCACCTGCGGGGTTTCTAATTGCTGATTTTGGGGTGGGCTGAGCCTTGTATCGTCTTGTGATACGCCACAGCGAGTAGTTAGAACTAGCGTCTGTGTCCAGATTTTCCATAAAGCTGTCTATAGACTCTTGTTTTCTTCGAGCGAGCGCTTTGCTTAGACAGTTAGCCAACCGATTATGTATCTGATGGATTCGGGCGTCTCCCGTTCTTGCGTATTCTCTTCTTACTCTTCGCTTTAGGCTGAGAAGTGCCCCAATTCTGGGTGGTAGCAGGAGATGTCTAGAGGTCTCTGTATTTTCGCGATTCCTGGGTGCAGCTATCTCAGCAGCCTCGCTTATCATGCGCATAAAAAGGTTGATGGCACTGTCAATGTCAGTAGGTTCCTGGATTTGTATGTTAACATCACTCAGCTGTTCTAGATAGGCTTTGAAGGCGTTTATATTAGCACCTCTGGCAAGTAGTCGCGGGCGCTGTGGTTTTTTCATAGGTGTGGCATGTAGTGTGGCCAGGATAGGAGTGTGGTCCGAGGAGAGTTCATGGAGGGTTTTTACTTGTAGCCTGTCTATAGCGTATCCATTGATTATGAAAAAATCAAGCGCTGTCGGTGTTATCAGGGGGTTATATGAGTAGAAAGTGGGTTCACCCGTGGCAAGTACTTGGTAATGCCCATTTGCAACGACTTCTTGCAACTGCTTACCCCTGCTGCAGGCTCGTGAGTTTCCCACCATGCATGTTTGGCATTATAATCACCACCAGCAATAAATTTGCTTCCAAGTCCAGTCAGTAGGGATTCTAATTCTGATTGAATCCATCTTTCTGCTGGAGGTAGGTAAATCGCCGCTAATGTGACATTCCCTTCTGAAGTCTCTAACTGGACGCTCGCTATCTGTCTGTCGTTGCTAGAGGCGGGGGGCAGGGGATTGTGACTAAGGGAATCCTTTATTATGACTGCAGAGCCACCTCTGCTGTTGCCACTGGGATGATGAGCATGGTAGATAAGATAGCCTGGCAAGTAGATGCGCTGACCATCGCGGATGTGAGTTTCTGTTGCAAGCATTATGTCTATGTTATGAGCGCTGAGGAATAATCGAAGCTCTTCAGATACTCTGACTAGTCCACGAGCGTTCCACAATCCGATGTTTAAAACTGGTTGAGTCATTTCGGCAATCGCGCAATGAGAACCTGGACCAGCTCTCTGAAAGCCTTGTTGGACTCTGCATTTTCCTGCATCAGCTTAAATAGGGTGTCCAGTTTGGAATTGATGTCGCGGATGGCATTATCTATCGCTGTGAACTTATGGCTCAGTCTAGGGTCGGAAGGAGAGCTTGCGTCACTCTGCAGGGTTGAGCTATTCCTTGCTTGCATATGCTTGGGTCGAGCTATATCAGCATACGATATATTCGTTCTTAATGCTTCAGCTGGTATGAATCCACGCGAGGCGCGTCGTGGATCATTCGTTATTGGAAGTCTAGGCCTCGGCTTTTGTTTTTTATTTTTTTCTATCCTGACTGGGCAGCATTTATCTGACGAGACGTGGTTACCGCCACAGTTTACGCACAAGCATGTATCGCTTACACAGAGCATAGAACCAGTAACATGAGGGCCACTACATTTACCACAAACCGGGTCCAAGACACAGTAGTTTTTAGAGTGCCCAAAAATTTGGCATCTTTGACATTGGAGTAGTTCCTTTCTACGGGAAGCACGCTCGACAGTGACTCTATATCTGCCAAGTTGTGTAATTTTTAGGGACTCTGCTACGTTTACACCCTGCTTAAGGTTGACATAAAATAAATTTTGCCTAGTTTTATAATTTATTGTTTCTTCGTTATCATCCTCGTTAACCTGAATGTTCTTCCAATCAGACTTTTTGGGGCAGTATATGTTAAGGACTTCAAAGCCGTTGTCAGTAAATCCCTGCACTATCTGTGATTTCGGAACGTTTGTATGGAGTCCTTTAAGCACTACTCTGTAGGCTTTGTCTTCTTTTAGCTGATGGTGCCAAAATTGGCAGTTAAGCGTTGTCAGTGTTTTTACTGCTACCCGAAAGGCGTCTGAGTTGGATGTATATATTCTGGAAACACCAAATTTGGAAGTGCGAATGTTGTAGTTTGAAGAGCCAATGCTAAGATCAAGAGCTTTTTCTAATAAGACCGGATCGCTTACGTTCGGTACACAAATAGCAGGGATCTTGTTAGATTTTGTAGATTGAACATCTCCACCAAGGACACCTGTATCGCTATTGATAGAGTCAGCATCCTCCAGATCCTGTTCCATTTGTTCTGCTTCAGCGGCCAGAATCGCGAATCGATTGTTACCCAATGCCTTTGCAGAAGAAGAATCGGCCGGCTTGTTGAGCGGCATTGTGGCCTGCAACTTAGTTTTGCGGGTTGGGGGCGGAGTGAGTACAGGTAAAGAGGGCTGAGCCACGCCTTTACGTTTTCGGCTGACGTTTCGGTCAGGAGCTTGGAACAGGCATTTCGATTTACTTGTTTTGTTCGCCAGTGAAGTTAATACATTTGTCAGCGGAGTCGTGGTCGAGCAAATGCTGCTGGCCGCAGTTGCAGCCACTGTGTATGTAGAAGAACCGCTCAAGAGTGTTTGAGCGTTGGAAATGGTGCAGGTAACACTAGTAGTGGAGTTACTGCTAATTGTCACCATGGAGCTGGTGATCGTTGTTTGACCGGGCATACCTGTAAGGTGGACAGATAAGCCTGGATGGCGGGCGCGGATTTGGGATCTTATTTCTTCAGGGTCTGCACCAGCTATATTTCTCATCTTCTCAAATTTATCGCTCCTATTGCTAGGCTGCGAGTGAGCAGATGACTCTTCCATTACATCAATTATCTTTATACTTATGACGTATAAAGCAATTGATATTCACAGGTCACGATCAAAAGTCTGCAAGATAAATTGTAAACAACCTCCCGCTTACGCAACGCGCAGAGCGAGGGGTAAAAACAACACGCTTTAAGTCTCGCTTATCGCTGTTGGATTTCGCGACAGTAGCGGCCACCGCGTTGCAGTGGCTATAAATAGACTTCGTGTGCAGAGATGTACACACGAGCGGTAAAGAGGCCTAAGCTATATTACTTGAGGTGATTATCGAACACACGTCTTTAGTACACGAATGCTGGGGGGGAACTGTGGAAAAATGACTTATCATTACAAGAATTTGTTTGTAAAATGTCAATAAAAATGTGAAAAAGATATAGGAAAGAGTGGAGTAGGGATAGTAAGAAAAGTTTGGTTGAACCACCATGAAAGTGGTATCATTGCCTGTTCTTTTGGCTATAACTTTTGAAGTCGATTGCAGAGCCGTCGAAAATTGTTGCAAAATGTCAAAGTACTTATTAAATTATCCTTAATTTAATTCCGCTGTAAATGGAAAAGATTTTTTAATATTGCGGTAAAAACTTTTTCACGCGGTGGACCGAATTCGTATTTTAGTTTCGGCGGTGTGAAATTTTCTTTTTGGACGTCCCCGGCCGGGTTTTGAACCGCTTGGATTAGTATTACTACATGTTGGGACATCGAGTTCTCGTTGACAGCTCCAATCATCACTGGCAGCATTACTGGCTAAACTATATAAACTTCAACCGAACACTTATTATCAAATATTACCTTCAACTATCCTTGCTCCAGGCAGTATTTTGTTCTGTTGCAAGTTACTACCAAGAATGATGAGCACAAAACAATAAAAAAGTAGTTACATTAAAAATCTGGCGTTCGACAAATGTCCAATAAACTGTCTCGGACAGAATAAAAATATATTATCAAATGTGACATTAACAGGAATTACTTCCTAACTCCTTCAACTGATGGCGTTTATAGATCAAATTTGTATTTTCGTCCTCTGATGCTTTAAGGTACCATCATTATAAACGGAGCGCATTTCAAACGAGCCGTTTAGCCGCTAGTGCCACAAACGCTTACGATTTATGTTATTCCTCAACTTAGTCCTGTTTTACTGCGATCGGCAATGCTTTTCTTCAAATTTTATTCTTTATTTCAGACGAAAAAAGAGAAACAAATTTTGAATTCAAATAATATAATTCTTCCTTCGATCTCAAAAGATAGAAAGAAAAGCGCTAGTCTGTTATCCGAATGTGCGACATTGATACGTTCGGACCTTTTTGAAATGGTTAAGAGCAAACAAAGCCATCGTCGCTAGGTGGAGTAATTTGTAAAATGGGATTCGTCGCATCCCATTTTATTTGGTACAACCGTGTGCTACGACCACTTTAAGCGCTTAGTGTTTATTAAGCCCATTTTGCTGCAGCCAAGAGCAACGTCCGCTCCAACGCCCACAAATTTATATGTTTGCGGCCGTATTTTTTTACGATTTTTTCAGTGTACATTTTATTGTACTATACCCGTTACCTGTAGAGCAAAAGGGTATATTTCTTATTTGGTTCCCTTTTAATTTCTCCCTGATTTTTCGATCGTTCCTATGGCAGCTGTATTATACAGTCATCCTGTTAAAAAACAAGGAAGAACGCTGTAGTCGAGTACCTAGACTATCAGATAAAGGCAAATTGAGATATACAAGCAGCAAAGCGAGATTGTAATGCGCCACCTACCCAAGAACTCAATATATGGCTATGTGGGCGGCAGACAGATTTAAGCGTTATGGGCGTTAGAGTAGGCGTAGCTACATTTTTGGGGTCTATCTTCTAGCACAAAAACTGTGGGCGCCACAGGTTTGGGCGGTTTGTTGGCATTAGAGTGGGCGTGGCATATTCTCGTAACAAATGTACGCAGCACAAGGCTACGGAATCTAAATCTGAAATCCCAGCTCTCTATCTTTGGTAGTTTTCGAGATATCCGCGTTCATACTTACGATTTTTTTAAGTTTGTGGGTGGTTTGTGGGCGTTTAAGTGGGCGTGACAAACTTTTTTTAGGTCCATCGATAGGTATTGATGAGAACAATACATTTTAGTTAAAATTTTAATTCTAGCACTAAAACTGCATGAGCCACAGTTTTGGGCGGCTTGTTGGTGTTAGAGTGGGCGTGGCACATTGACAAACAAACGTGCGCTGCGCAGGAATCTCTTGAATATGCATGCCTAATCTCAGTATTGCAGCTTTTATCGTTTCCAGATCACAGCGTTAATACTCAAACAGAAGATAGAATTTTTGTTGTATAATTTAATCATTAATTATCCGATCGTTCTTCTTCATTGCGTTGCAGTCTTCCCACTTAAATTAAAATACCTTCTGCAAGGCAATAAAAATAATGCAACCCGACAAATTGACTTTGGTCTAAATAAGAAACGGCAAAGAACTCATTTAAATTGTATTACTTTGAAATGGAGAATGGAATTCTTGTAAATTTACTTTTTATTTGTACTTTTTAACTGCGTAAACATTGAACATTTATTTTTGGATGTCTCTGCGTTTTGATTTTAGTGCTCGGTTCTTTTTTTCTTCGAGATATTTCATTGTAATTATTAGGCTGGATATTCTTTATGCTTATTTTTAATTTCGGACTTTCGATAACTGGACAAAAGCAGGTACAGTTTCTTCAGCATTTCATCCGCCTCAGCCGTGGTCATGGCAAACACTTGGATCATTCCCGACTCATAAAGTCTAGCTGACACTCCGGGCATATCCTCATTCACATAGTAGACGAACTTCTTCTCACGAAGGGATGGTTCTGAAGAAAGGGAGTAGACCGCACTAAATTCATGTAAATTAACGGTCCAGGGATAGTTGGCGCCGGAAAAGAGACGTAAGTGTAAGAGCTTGTGGGAGGGGTCCGCCTTGAAATTAACCTTCCCTATGGTCTTCGCCACGATATCGCTTTGGGTTTCGGCCAACATTGCGCTACTACTCCCGTTTATAATCATCACAGTGCCATTGCCCCATATCCAGCCTATCTGCGTAGCCTCATACCGCACTTCGATCACACCTATGTTTTTTTTATAAACGGCGTTATCCAGGGTCCTTACAGCCATATCAAGATTCAAATTTCTATTCAATTGTAGGGTGCAAAACACCTTGCAGAACTTCATTTCAACGGGTAAGCTCAGAAACTCGCTTTGACGTTTTGTGGGACGTCTTAGGATCCTGATCTGCTGGCGGCACTGCTCTGGATGAACTGGTAAGGGTGGAAGCACCAAAGTCCTGCCCAATTGCTCCGCGGACTTGAAGCCATATCGCTGGTACCACTTGGAGCGGAGTCGTTTGGCTTGCGGGTCCCTGTATTCCGTCATATTGTGGTCAATGATATCCTCGGAGTCCTCAAGGCGAACTGTGAAGCTATTCTGCCATCCGTTCTCTAGGGGAGACATTCTGATGCACCTTCCTGAACTTCGTGTCATCATCTGCTCCTTGTCAATCTCGCTTTCGAAATCAATAGCTTCTGTTTCCGTAGACGTCGGCTTTACACTCTCCTCATTTATTAGAAATTGCAGTTGCTGGGAAATGGTGCTACTACATTGCTGTGGCCAATCCTGAATCGCTGCCTCATCTTGGTTCATCGGGGGGACTGATCCAATATCTTTGACGTCAAGAATAATGGGACGCTCTGGTCTAAGCGCAATAAGTTGCATTTCCTTAAATGACTCTTCAATATATATCTCTGAAATGTCGTCTTCGGGAGTAGTTTCCAGCATCATTTCATCGGGCAAAGTTTTTCTGAACTGCGGCTCCACAGCATCGATTTTACAAGGTAATTCTTCAAACACCATTAAAGACTTTTTTTTAACATCCTCTGCCTGTGTGCTATGAAGATTTTTGGGCTTTAACAGGTCAAACAGAACTTTCCGATTTTTCTCCTGGTCTCTAGCTAAGCTCAACAGCATATCAAACTCATCAATATCGCTGTAAGGTTCGTTTAGTCCCTCTGATTTTATCCAATCGTCTAGGGCGCGATCTTCTTCCTCACCAATAGTAATTTTATCAAGGACGATTTCTCCGTCGTAAAAAATACGACGCTGGGTATCGTTGATAGACTTCCTGTCTATTTCCCAGTTGATAAGCCCCTCCGCAGCATTGTTTTCTTGAGGAACTATTTTCTAGAGGTTTCCTTGGAAATCAGGCATTCCAAGGAGGTGGAGATTTCGACTTTTCCATACCTACCATACAACATAGAGGCCAATCTACTCCCGATGGCGGCACCAAGGCCTCCTTTAGGTCCTTAAAGGTCTGCCAAATATCCTCCGAGGTTGGGAGGTGAAAATCATACAAATCCACATGGTTCGGATCATCTAACGACTGTAGTGCCACTATCGGTGGTTCCTCTATGTCGATAGCAGGTTTCGACACCGACCAGCTTACCATCGCCTCCTGTGTCAGCTTGTATTTGGTGGGTAAATTGACTAATGAATTTGGTGGTGGCATTGCTTTCTCGTCACGTGCTTGGGTTCAGAATTTACTACAGATGGCTTACAAAAGAGGTTCTGAGGAGGTGACTGTTTTGTGATGGTTTTTTTGTTTCTGGATCTTCCATTGGCATTAAGGACCTAAATGAAAGAAAATCCATATGTTATTAGTACAGAAAACATTCTAGCTGCTCAGCCTTAAATGAAATTTGTTGTACTGTTCTTACCTGTCTACATTGCTGCTTCCTACGGCGTCAAAATTTTTAACAACTCCTTCAGTGAGACTGCGCTAGCAATTGTGGTGAAAAATTTCTGAAAGCCTGAGTTGTCACCTTATTTCATTAAAAAGCCATGGCAATTCTGTTACATTTTAGTATCTCTAGTTAAAATCAATTATTTTAAAACCAATTTGGGAAGCAAACCATAAAAATATACATTTTAATTGTTTTTATTTCCCAAAAATTAAACAACTGGTCGCAGCTGGACACAACTGTTTACAAATTCAACAGCTGTTCCCCCAATTTTCTATTCAATTTTCAACAATTCAGCAGTGTTGGGAATACCCAGAATGCCTATTCCCTTAAAGGGGTTCCCCCATTTCTCGGTTTTTAATAATCAAACATTTTTTGGATGGTCAAACGGACATGGCTAGTTCGACTTGGCAAGTTATCCTGAAATGAAACGCTTTCTAGCTGTTACATTCTTTCTGTCAAAACTTCTATAGTCTTTTACTCTACGAGTATAAAAATGCATAGTTTTAAGTTTAAATGGATCCCGTTTCAATGGCACGAATGAACCTTCTAAAAGAAATAGTTTTCTGAAGAGTAGTAAGATCTCAAAAAACACCGAAACTATACTATGCTTCCATTATTTTTGTGATTGTTCCGGCTTTTATACTACCTTCAATAGAAAGAAGATTTTTTGGGAACGTTTCATTCAAATAGCTTAAAAGCTAGACTAGATCGCATAAAAACATTCAGACGGTCGGTTGGATTGTCAGACAATCATGGCTAGATCAACTCGTCTAGTGATGATGATCAAGAATATATGTAGTACTTTTTAGGATCGGATATGTCTCCTTCACTGCGTTGCAAACATCTGACTGAAAACACAATACTCTCTGCAAGGATATAACAATAGAAAACGCTTAAGTCACTTCCGAGTTAAAACTAGAACAGGCCTGTTCCCAACTGTTCTATATTTATATAGCAAAACGCGCAGCTTTAAAATTCGATGACAAGATAACCATGGCTGGCCGCGCCGATGTTTCACAATTTTTAAGATCGTAAAAGACCGAAAACTAGATATTACCATTTTTAAATGTACTTACAGACGTATAATAGAATACACTGATGAAAAATCGATGTTTTTAATCAACAGGTCGCGATGCCATTTTCGAGGGTTACTCCGTGCAGCGCTACATCTTCAGGTCGCAGTGCATCTACTTGCTAAAGAGCCTCCAGTTGGTACTCCAGCAGTTTCGCCACGGGCTCAACCACTGCGCCTATGAACTATGCACCCATGCGGCCATTTATCGGAGTGACCTGGAGGCCCAGGAGCAGCAGCTTGACGAGTTTGTACGCTTACTCAAGACTGGTCAACTAGATGAACATTCGAACTGCGAACCGATTCGCCGCGTTCTTCACTATGTCAGTGGGTTGCATCAAAATCTTATGCCACCACAAACGCTCGTGGAACTCCTGGACGAGCAGCAGCTCTATGAAGCCCTGATCGAGGTCTATGAAGCGGGTTTGGACGCTGTGAATGCGAATGCGGGGCTGATGCACACCATTATACAGCTGGGTCACGAGCAGACCGCCTCCTTTAATTGCATGCAGCTGCTGATGGAGCAGAGCTGTGCCCACAAACAGAAGCTCAAGAAGCTGCAGAGGAAGCTAAGTGGCAGCAAGACGGCCTCCTGGACGGGAATGCAGTGCGCCCGGTACCAGAGAATCCTCGAGGCCAATGAGGCACTTGGGGCTCTTATCCGGTTGCTGGGGTCCACTGCCCGAGAGGCCAGCAAGGACTCTAATGGGGGAATAGCCCACGAAAAGCTGTGGAGGATGCTGGTGCTCAACTACAATAAGTTTGCCCCAAGTCAGGAGGGCGAGGAGCCCAGGGAAGTGGATGCCTACAGCCAGCGGTGCATGCAACTCCTGGAGGAACAGTTGGACGAGCTCTTCACCCTGCTGGAGTCCACTGACGTGAACACTGAGTATGTGCGTCATCCAACTAGCAACACGTTGCAGGAACGGGCTGCCCAGGTGAAACGACACTACGAGGACGTGAAAAACCTTGAGCGGACCGTGGCTGAGAGGGATAAGGAAATCAAAAGCCTCAAGTACATGGCGAAAATGAAGCAGCAGGACTTCTCGGAGCTGCAGGTCCGCAAGGAAATGGCCGAAAAGCAGCTGAGCAAGCAGTGCCACGTGCTTGCCGGCTTCGCAGAAGCGGTGGAGCAGCTGGAGCAATCGATCCTGGCCAAGGAGGCGGCCCTGGGACAGGCCTTGAATATACTAGCGGATAAGATATCCATCCTCGAGCAGGCGCAGCAGCACTGGCAGGAGCAGCAGCAGGCGGACAGTGCCTGTGCGACCAGCACCACCATAAGTTCCAACCGGGAGATGAACATGCTCCACCAGGCTCTCCGCCAGGAGAGGTACATAAGAGTCCAGTTGCAGGGCAATGAGATGAGGAAGACGTTCGCCGCCTTGGAACCACTGCATGTTCCTCGAACCGAAAGCCAGGAGCTGACCAACCTGGAGAAGGACATCCGCACGCTGAAGAACCAGTGGCTCCTGGCCCATCTGGAAATGGGCACTGCTGGCAGTCAGCGACGCTTGGAGATCGAGCTGCAGGGCAGCCGCATCCTGCGACATATCTTCCAGACATATTGCACACAGCATCCGCATCGGGCCAAAAACACTGATTTCGGCCTCTTCATCAGCGAGGATCTGCGCAGAGCATTCGAGCAAAATTTCTAGTTATACGAATTAGTATTCCAACTGTATTTCAGTCGTAACATAGGTATATGTGATTCGCGGCTTATATAAAACATTAATATATTAATGATTATTTGTACGAAACTAGATATTATATACATGCATATATGAAAACTGTACAATTCTATAATTCATTTCGTGTTAATCGGGCAATAAACAAATTTACATTACTTAGACAAATTAAACAGGAATTGTATTATTAAAATGGAAAGGATTTAATTATTTCCAGCAGTGAAATAACACGCGTTCTTACCCTTAAAACATAAAAATGTTATGAGGGATTTACAAATTTGATCCGGTAACATGAGGTTGGGAACCTGTAAAAGATGTATACATATCTACTGGCTATAAACCTTAAATATTAACCCTTAAATATTAAAGTGTGATTACTCAATCTCATTGTCGAGCACCCCCGACTGTGGCGTTCTTAAATGTCGTTTATTTGAAATTCACATTTTACAAAATATCATATACAATCCTTTATGTACAAATAGTTGGGCATAATAAGAGGCGCGCACTTTGAGATGAGAGCAGCGCAAGCAGTTCAATAAAACGAAACGCTTATCACATGAGCACAAAATCGGGGATCCAGAGTTTTCGGTGTGGAGGGCGGATATATAGTTGGATATTAGATATATCATGGCAAGATGGGCCGGATGACATCGTTGTCGTTGTGGGATTTACATAAATACGTTTAATGTTTAATGAGAAGAAGATTGGATTTGAGGCTATTTACAGTTGCTGAACGAACAAAACAATTTGCGACCTATGAAGACCTGTACATAAAAATAATTTATCGAGAATAAACATTAAAGGATTAAAAAAAAATCATTAACAGTAGTTAATTTAATGCTCTATTACGTTCGTAGACTATTGACTAACGATTTTGTAAATTAATAACTCTGAAGACAACGATCTTAAATTACTTTAAGGGGAGAAGGTAATACTTTCGACCCCTATCAATCTGACAGAATTAGTTTAAGACTCATACTTGTAATTTCTATGGCTGCCATAGACACATAATCAGTTTATATTTTAAATATTTCAAATATTTTATATTTGGTATGTTGATCTACCATTTCGGAATTCACCTTTTAATTTTAGTTACATGTTTAACATTTTCTCCAAATCTAAAATTTTCTTGCAACAGGTTCCCTTTACTTAAAAATTAATAAAATTATAAATTTAATTATGCAAGTTAGGCTTTCGAAAATACGGCTTCCATAACTAGTTTCACTATAAAAAGTCTGTGTCTTAGTTGTATATAACTAAAATATTATTTAATAACATCTGTTTCTTCAAGTTTACAAAATAATATGGGCTGATTTATACAGTAGGTAAAGGTTATCGGACTTTAGTTTTGAAATACGTGATACGTTTGAGTCCTTGACATTGATACGTAGATCCGATACAGAGTTAGGCCTAACTTGCTTGCATCCTTAAGATAGGCACCTTTCTAAAGTTACGACTCACCTCACGACTTAGCTTCCGTCTGACGCTTGGCCACAATTTTGCCCTGATCGCGACTGTTGATGACCTCGGCGTGGAAGCCAGTTTCCCAGTCGGCGTAGTACTTCACCGTGCGCACATTGCCATCAGGCTCCACCAGGGAGTACTCGCCCTTCACTACGTCTCCATCGCGCTCCTCCTTCTGGTGCTTGTTGTCACCCGTGTGGGGGTCATTCACAGCATACTCGAAAGCATAGCGAGGATGGGCGTCCTAGGAAGAACAGGGAATCTTTAGAGGAATCATTCCCAAGGGAAGCATGGTCACTCACGAAGTGCTCAAGGTGCTGCTCAGGCACCACCTTTAGAGCGGCATGCTGTGCCACGGGCGCCGACTTCAAGTAGGCGGTGGCTGCCACGGGGGCGTGGCTGCTCAGGGCCGGCACACTTGGAGCATACCGATAGAACCCGGCTCCCAGAGGGCCGATTCCGCCCACTCCGTGCGAGTATCCGCTCAGGGAGGAGTCCAGATGGGCCAGCGAGGATGGGGCTGGGGCCAGACCAGATCCATGTGACAGCAGACCGTGGTAGGACAGGGCTGGAGACACGGCTGCGTGACCCAAAGAGATAGCTCCATAGTAGCCGCCAGAGGGACCTGCTCCATGTCCTAAGTCACCTGGAAGGAAGAGTTTGATACATCGTGGATTGCTTGCTTACACAGGGTGATAAAACAAAACGAACTCTTTATATTTAATCTATATATATAAGCACTTAAGGTGGTATGTTAGGTCTTATAAAATACTTAAAAGGATCTTCAAACTTGAAAAGGCTTTGTGTTTTAGCATTTGCAGTGATCAAACCATATGGCGTTCATAAAGGATATTAGTCAACTATGGACGCTATGTTCATGGACAATTAATTACAATCATTAAAATGGTATAAGAGCGATTGTTCTCATGAGAACTATACATGGTATAAGAATCAAAAAAAAGAAATGTAAGCAAGTGGTTGTTACATTTCAATTTATTGAAAGTCCTTGCAAAATCTTTAGTAACCGATAAAAATGTTTAAATGTATATTGTAATCCTTCACTTAAGCCAATTGCAAATATATACAGAAACGCTTCCGTTTCCCTGTTCAATTTTTTTTACTCGACCACTAATTGAATATTTAGTTTATTGAATCAAATTTATCTTAGGTGTGTAATTATTTCTCATATTGTGTCCAAGTTACTATTTTTAACACATAAACGACTTACCCGCATGGATACCGTAGGCGGTGCTGCTAGCCAGCTTTCCTCCCAGGGAATATGCTGGAGCAGATGTCAACTTGGTCAGAGGAGCACCGAGCAGCGCTCCGCCGTGTCCATGTCCACTGACCCCGTACCCGAGACCCAATCCCAGTGGGATCGAAGGGCCTGTGCTGATGTGGCCCAAGGCTGGAGCGGCGGCATAGGTGGCCACCTTGGCGATGGCAGGACCAGCTGAAATGGCCACTGCGGCTTGGAGACATACTGGTGGGAAACTGCGCCCGAGCTATATCCCGCTCCACTTCCACCGTAGCTAGTGGCCACTTTAGAGGACAACAAGGGACCAGAGCTTATAGCATGTCCCCCGGAAATGAGGCTTAGAGCTGGAGCACCGTAAGTGGCAACTTTGGCTATTGCCGGAGCTGCTGAGATGGCCACCGCCGGCTTGGACACATACTGATGGGAGACGGCTCCCGAACTATACCCAGAGCCACTTCCTCCATATCCGTGGCCACTCGAAATCACGGGTGCCGTTGAGTATGTGGAAATGGCAGGAGCGGCGTAGGAGGCCACTTTCGAGACTGCATGTCCAGTCGAGTAGCTGGAAATGGTAGGAGCAGCATAGCTGGCCACTTTGGCAACTCCCAGCGCTGGCTTGGACACATACTGATGGGAGACGGCTCCTGAGCCACTGATTCCGTATCCTGTGGCCACCTTGGCAGGCAAGGCGATGGCCGGAGCAGCAGGCAAGTAAGCCTTGGAAAGAACAGGAGCCACTGGGGCCACTGCGATCGCCGGTTTCGAGATGTACTGATGGGAGACGGCACCACCATGGCCCGATCCTCCATAGCTCGTGGCAATCTTGGTGAGACCGGGTGCCGAAGAGTAGGTGGAAATGCCAGGAGCAGCATAAGTTGCCACCTTCGCAATGGCAGGTGCTGCTGAAATGGCCACTGCTGGCTTGGAAACGTACTGATGGGAAACAGCTCCAGAGCTATATCCCGATCCACTTCCTCCATATCCAGTGGCCACTTTGGTCAACACAGGAGCTGCAGCGTAGGTGGATATAGCAGGAGCACCATAGGTGGCCACTTTGGAGATCGCTGGAGCGGTGGCATAGGTGGAGATGGCCGGAGCAGCGTATGTGGCCACTTTAGCGATGGCAGGAGCTGCGGAAATGGCCACTGCCGGCTTGGATACGTACTGGTGGGAAACGGCTCCCGATCCAGAAGCTCCATAGCTTGTGGAGAGCTTGGTGATGGCAGGAGCGGATGAGTAGGTGGCCAGCGCGGGAGCAGCTGACGGATAGGCGGCCACAATGGGTTTAGAGATGTACTGGTGGGACACATCCGCTGCCTGACTGTAGGAAACTTTGGTGAGAGCCGGAGCGGAGGAGTATGTGGCTATGGCAGGAGCCGCATAGGAGGCCACCTTCGAGATTGCAGGAGCAGTGGCATAGGTTGAGATGGCTGGAGATGCGTATGTTGCCACTTTGGCGATTGATGGTCCTGCGGAAATGGCCACCGCCGGCTTGGAAACATATTGGTGGGAGACGGCCCCATGGCCCGATCCTCCGTAGCTCGCGATCTTTGTCACAGCGGGTGCGGATGAGTATGTGGATAGGGCAGGAGCAGCATAAGTGGCCACCTTGGAAATGGCAGGAGCAGCAGAAATGGCCACCGCTGGTTTGGAGACATACTGATGGGAAACGGCACCCGAGCTATATCCCGACCCACTTCCTCCGTATCCAGTGGCCACCTTGGTCACCACTGGAGCAGAGGAGTAGGTGGAGATGGCAGGAGCAGCATAGGTTGCCACCTTGGCAATGGCAGGAGCAGCTGAAATGGCCACTGCCGGCTTGGAGACATACTGGTGGGATACGGCCCCTGAGCCACTGGCTCCATAGCCAGAGCCAGAGGAATAGGTGGATAGAGTGGGAGCTGCGTAGCTGGCTACCTTTGAGATGACAGGTCCAGTGGAGTAGCTGGAAATGGCAGGAGCAGCATAGGTGGCCACCTTGGAGAGCGCCGGAGCGGTGGCATAGGTGGAGATTGCTGGAGCAGCGTATGTGGCCACTTTAGCGATTGCAGGAGCTGCGGAAATTGCCACCGCCGGCTTGGAAACATACTGATGGGAAACTGCTCCCGATCCTGAAGCTCCATAGCTCGTGGAGAGCTTGGTAATGGCGGGGCCGGATGAGTAGGTGGCCACTGTTGGAGCAGCATAAGTAGCCACCTTGGCGATGCCCGGAGCTGCGACCAATGCGGGTTGGGAGACATACTGGTGGGACAGACCCCCGGATGCAGTGCCTCCGTAGCTGGCAGCCACCTTGGTGATCGCCGGAGCAGCAGGATAGGTGGCCACTATGGGCTTGGAGAAGTACTGGTGGGACACATCGGCGGCCTGGCTGTACTTGGTTATTGATGGGGCATAGCTGGCGGAGTAGCCTGTTCCGTGGGAGGAGAGCAGTGAAGATGTGGCCAATTTCACAGCAGGGGCGGAGTAGGTTGACACCTTGGCGATCGCAGGCGCCGAATATGAAATCGATGGCGAATAGGTGGCAATCTTAGAGATTCCGGGCGAGAGCTGACCGTAGCTGTAGCCAGGGGAGCTGTAGGTCTCCACCTTGGAGTAAGCAGGTGAGGCCTTGGAGTACGTGTATCCAGGTGAGCTGTAGGTCTCCACCTTGGACGTCACTGGTGGCGCATAGTAGGGAATGCTCGACGGGGCTGGGGAGGAGTACGTGGCCACCTTGGATATTCCCGGGGTGGCCGAACTGTAACTGTATCCTGGGGAAGTATACGTGGCCACTTTCGTGAGTCCCGGCGAAGGTGGCAAATAGGAGTTGTCCAACTTGGTGATAGCTGGCGACACCAAGTTCTTGATCTCGATTCCCGAAGGCACTACGGTTGCGTACTTGGCAGCCGGCGACTTATCCGCATAGGTAATGCCCGCTCCTCCGTACTCGGCCGAAGGAGAGAACAGAGTCTTCTGCACCGGAGCTATGTACTTGTCGATCTGGGTGATGCCCCCATGAGACAACCCCTCGATTCCAGCGGAGGACTGGTACGATCCTCCGGAACTTCCCACCGAAGTGTGCAGGAGGTGTCCGTTCTCCGAGTACGTGGAAATCGCCGGGCTCTGGCTGTACTTGGTCACTCCGGGCGAGATGGAGAACTTCACCTCCGCCGGCGGAGGATACGAGTAGCCAGCGGTGGCCGCGTGCACACAGGGCAGTATTGGTGGAGCCAGAGTGGGCGAAGGATCCGCCAGAACCACGCTGAGCAGGCCCAGAAGGGCTACCAAAAGGAGCTGAAACCGAAATGGTGAAAATTATGTTAACCGAAAATATTTAGAAACACATTTTATGAAAACTCAATTTAGTCCTTCAAAGTAGAAAATTTACGTTGAATAGCTTATAACTTTATACTTAAAAAATTTTAAATATTACGAAAATGTTGTTTAGCAAATATAAAATTATGGGTTCATTTAAAAAAATTCTAAGTCACATAAGGAAAGTACTGGATATATGTAGAGTAATAAATAGTGAATAGCTTTTTAAGACTTAAGCGGATAAAATAACGTTGTATACGGTATAATGTTGTAAATATAATATTTAGTTTTATGATTAAAATTAATAAATGATTTGCAAAATTTATGAGAAATTTCAATATTAAAGGACGATGACTTTATACAAATGAAGTAGAGCAAAATTCAAATTTGTTGAAGTCTCACTTGTTCGAAATTCATTTTAAATATAAACAGGATTACAATTATAAAACCGTATTTGGTTTTTATTTACGAATTATTAAAATCCATCAATCCTAAAAAGATATTTATTTTTTAGTAGTCCACTTTTAAGTTTTAACTTAGACTTTAAAGATCATTTATTTCAACTAATGTATATCTGAGTTAAAAAAATCGTAATCAATTTGCTCAAGTTATTATTTTAATTCGCGCACTTGCTCCTGCACATATTGTAAAAGGTCCTTTTTCATTGTCCTTATATAATGTCTCAATTTTTTTAATTCGTATTCCGAGGACCCACCTTCATAATTACACTTTTAAAACTTTGCACAGTCGATGGTTGGTATTGGCTTAAGGATTCGCGAACTGTATAGAATCTTTATTCAGTAACACACCATTTGCACTTTCAAAAAGAATTCACAAGTTTGCGGTCCTTGGAGGTTCGATTGTAAATCCAACGGGTTATCCTTGGGCACCTCTGAAAATCACAGTTAATTGCTCCAGTTTTAATCTCCGATTCGCTTTAGTTCTACTAAGTTCGGCTCGAAACGCAACGCAACGGATCGATTCAAATCGAATCGGAACGATTCGGGATGTAGAGCAGAGCCACGCGGCCGACTGGACTGGACTGTTGGCCAGCCCGGCCCTATAATCGCTTATATACGTTCGGTCAGTTGGCCAACACTCGCGAAAAGCTCGCACGCATGCGCAGCAGCCACGCACCAGTTTGGCGACAAAGCGACAAAAAAGTGTAACTATATGTGTAGCAAAAATCGAAGAAAAAATCGAGCAATCGAAAAATTGATCTGCTGCAAGGAAAGAGCCAAGTGAGGCACGAATGAGCTGCGACTTTGGCGCGTGCAGATGAAGAATTGATGGCTGTTCGACTCCAGCTCTCGTTTCGAGGCAGCTTTGTTCTCTCCAAGTCGGGCTGGAAACTGAAAACTGAAAAGCTGAAAACTGGCGAACTGCAACCTGCCTGGCCAATTGTTTGGCCCCACCTTCGCTCGGAGCCTCGGTTGGCAACGTTTTATTAGATCATAGTCGCGAACGCCTCGGCTCAAAAATAAACTGATCACAAAATGCGCGTGGTGCATTGTTGGCCAAGTCACTTTTTGCCACAGTTTTATTTCGCCTTTTTTAAAGATTTTTTTTTGCATACCCGTATGCTTTTAAAGCGACTTAATTTGATTTAGATTTTAATCGCGGCCATTGCGTGTAGCTTTGGAAAAAATAAATGCATACGCAATTTGCTAGGCCCCCGAGCCGAAAAACCATAAAAAATCAAGAAAAAATAGAGAGCAATGTATGTGGAAAATAAAACAAGAATTGTGGTATTAATGTCGCTATCAATAAATTTTGTCTGCCTGTATGAGTGCGATCATGCGTGCTATGTGCCTTGGGCCTTGATTGTGCATTAGTTGGCTAAAAGGCGCATTGCCACATCATAATGCGATACAATGTGTAACTAATAGAATAGCGGGAGATATGGCAAAGTGTTGACTTGTCGGCAATTAAGGTCACTATGCATCGAGTGTCACCCTCTGTGCGAGGGTGGGTATACCGTCTATGGATGTCGAAAATGGCCAACCCAGTGCGTTAACATGGCTGATAAATCGGCTGGCTGACATGGCGGTTCAAAGAAACCTGGACAAGAATTTGGGGTTAGGCTGGGATCGTTTTTTGGTTCTCAGTGTGGATATCAGCAACCAGATTATATGGAATATCAAGCCAAAGATGCCATTTATTTATTTACATTCAACTAGTTAAGTAAGGTTAATATTTTACAAAAAGGAATTTAGAAATATAGAATTTTTATTTTCGCTGCATTTAATCTAATCATAAAAGCTTCTTCAGTGATCTTTTAAGCAATTTCCCATAAATATTTTTCCATTCCCCCGCCACCTTATATAATAAAACTAACCATTACTGTGCTACCTAACAAGGCGATTACTAAACCATTTTCCTTTTGGCCAAGTCCAGACATCGCCCACGAGTTTTTTAACCAACATTTTGGCAGCGATTTCACACGAGGTGCGGAAAATGCATTTTACTGGACTCATAAACACAGACCATTGGGCTACCTAAAGTCATAATTCGAGCAGTTCGATAATCCTGCCGCTCTGGCGACTTTGGCCACTTTTGCGACCGCCCCGCTGGCATCACGCATACGCCACGTTGTGAGCTCACACAGCCGAAGTGCCAAGCCCGTCGGCCTTTCTCGAAAACACACGCAATACTTGCACTCTGGCACTAACTTAACTGGTTCGCGATACTCGCACATACTTTCTGGGCTTGTAGAATTCTTGGGCGAGATCGGGCGATTATGGGGAACATAAAATCGGCGATTTTATAAATATGTTTGGCAAATTTTGAAATGTTTACGCAGCGACCTGGTCAGCATGGCCGCGCTATTGAATGGGCGACAAACCATCGAGATATAGGATTCGCCGCGAAGCAAAGTTGGATGTAAGTGATCCGGCTGGGGCGAAATCAAGATTTTTCAATTAAGGCCCCAGAGCGAAAGGGGGAGGGTTGGGATTTGATTTCGTCATGATGCTAAGTAGGCATGGTCGCGGGGCAGCCATGGCCAGCTGGACCCGAAGCTACGGCTACATGGATGTATAGCTGGCTCTCTGAAGCCCGCAGATCGTTTCACCAAACTTACGCAACCGGGCGATCTGTGCGTGTGTGTGACAAATGCGTGGCGAGGCGAACTAAACTCGTCCAGCGATCAGTCTGAAGTAGGTTAAAATTCGCGCAGCTGACTTTTCGGCTCGCGTTTGCAAATGTTGAAAAATTAAAATTCAATCAAATTGCGAAAACCGTTCGCGAAAAGCCCAAAACGAATAAAAAAGCTGGCCGACAGCCCAAAACATGTTTCATGTTCAATTAACAGCATTGGTCCCGTCCCAGTCGCAGTCGAAATGGTAAAATCTGCGGGAAAAGTTCCCGACTTTTTCGGACTTAACTCTTCTCCTGGCTGTTCCGATTAAAATCGCATCATGCAACACCCAATCACCCAATCACCCGAAGCTTAATTGGTCCGCAGGTTTATCTGCGGGCCCGGCTCTCGATCTGGATCGGCATTCTTTGGCGCGATTGCGTGTCTGGGTTTTCCGTTTTTTCTTCGATTTTTCTTTTGGCCCGGTCTGGGCTTCTAATTGAAATGTCAACGCGTGTGCTGCTCAATCAATTTTCCAGCCAGCCATTTATGGTTGCTTTTATTTCGGCAAACTCGCCTAGATTTCGCATCGGTAATCGTCTGGCCGAGAGTCTGTCTTGCCTTCTTTCCAGCTGGGTGTCTTTAATTGATTTGGCCGGCATGCGGTGTCATTCGCGAGTCAGGGACAATGTGGCTGCGGTGGCAGCTTGATGGCTGCCAGAGCCACCAAGTGGCAGACTTCAGCCGCGGCGGACAGCTAATTAAATGCGGTCATAAGGTGCGTTTAGTCGATGGCAGTCGTCAGTGGTCGTGGTTATTAATTGGTTCCAATGGGACATGATCCTATTTGAAAATGTAGTGCACAAAATTATTTAATCAATAGGATACCACTACATAGGTACTTTCCGAAATTAGTAATTAAAATTATCCCTTACAATTTGTATATAAGCTTATACTTGGTAATATATTTTGGTTAAATTTAAAATTGATTGAAAACCAAACATTCAAATTAAAATCATTTTAATTTTAGATACTTTAGTTTATCATTCTTCAATACCACAGCCCTTAATATTAAGAATTGTAAATAATACCTTTAATTAGTTTTTAATGGCTGCCAGAGACACTAAGTGGCAGACTTCAGACGTGGCAATAATACCCATGCTTAAAAACGTATTAGTCCTCACAGTAATATAAGGCTATATTTTAACTTAATATGAAAATAAATTGCAAGCTTGGTATAATATTTTTTTAAGTTTAAAGTTTTTTGAAAACAAAAACATTTGAATCCACATTAACATAATCTTATTTTTGTCACACTTTAATTTCGTGTTAATATAAACGAATACAAAATATCATCTCTCATTTATCTATTTTCGAACAGTGGTATCCATTCGAACTTGTGGTAAGGACCTCATTACAGAACTTTCTTAAGTAATATATCCAATGAAGAAAAAAAACTAATGCGTGAGCTGAAGGCCACAGTTGCTAGTGCTCAAATGCCTTTAGTTAGCTCATAGATTATATTATTATTAAATTATTATATATTATTAATATTATTATTATTATTTATTATTATTATTAATATTATTATTATGTTAAAGACATTATGTAAGACATTTCAAAATAAACGCACTTAAAGTTGTTAGTGACTTACATCCTTCACCAAAGCTGTCATATGAAAAAATATTTGCACAACACGAAGTATTACGCAAGGAGATTTCTGCATCCCCATCCTAGAAATCGTGTTTTTCAACCTTTAAAATTCGAACTGTTTTATTTTAGTAAATGTGCATTTAAGTATAATGGAACAATTTGATAAATTCTTGCAAGTTAAATTACAATTTTGAAAGTTTGTCTTTTAGATGTTACCTATATAATCGGATCGTTTTCAGGAAATTTGTAATGCAAGTTCCAATATCTAAGTTCGGCAAATCATTTCAACAACTGTTCAGTGCAGCTTTTTAGTTGAAGGTGATAAGCCGGATGTAATTGTGAACGACAAGTTGTAAACAAATTAATTTATGAAGCATACTGTCAGGGGCGACTTGATTTAAAAGTGGCTGGCCTATATAAGGTTGACATAATATTTATTTTAGAGTGCCCATACTCGGCTCTCTTACACAACTCCTGAGTCAACCCCTTTGCAGCCAGATAATCACCACTGGCCGACTCGAGTGTCATAAACATTTGTCATAATTAACACAGATTAGGCATTCGGCATTCTTAATGACCGCTCTGCTGCACTGGCATCCCACCAGCGAATGCCTAACCCCCCGGCTAATCCAATTTAGCTAATCTGATGCATAACTAGTTCGACCGCAGATCGAGTATTCTAATTACGGGTGCGATTTTGATTTTGATTTCGATTTCAACTTCGATTGCGAGTGCCAGTTTGAGAACTCGCACTTTTTGTCAACGCAAATCGCTGCGTATGGCATTGACTTGGATTTTCTGCGATTTCTGTGCATAAATTGAGGTATCGACCTGCGATCAGGGACCAAAGTGTCAACTGGCTGATCGAAGTGAAGAGGGCGATGCAAAAAATGACTGCTCGTATGCAAATTGCTCCCACATTGCGATTCTAGGCGAACCAGTTCCCCAGCATCGGATCCAAAGTGACGGCAATAAAAAGCGATGCTCATAAACGGAGATCGCCGCAGAATCACTTAGCGCGTTTTCAGACGCGTGAGAATGCCTGAAAAGCACTCGAGCGGTTTTCAAGCGATTCTCAGATTTCAGTTTCGAGTGCAGAGGCGTTCGGCAGCGCTCCCAATTAAATAATTTACAATTTTCTAGATTAGGCGCCGCCTCCGTCCAACGACATTGAACGTAGTCAGGGGCTATGAGTCAGGTCTGCGCTCATATATCTCCTACCCGAGACTCTTGAGACTTAGATCCGGTTTGGGGCTCGCCGGAGTCGCCGGTGGAAAAGCTGGCCCGCTGACACGCACACCTTTTAAGGAAAGGATCCCGAGCCCCCTCCGCGGCACAGAACGCTGGCCAAAAGCAATTAGCGGCCCAAACAAATGTGAGAGACAATTCTCAGAAGTGCCTATGCATTGCAATCGCATAATTTGCTGTCAAATCGCACGCGTTTTTCAGCCATACTCTTGCGAGGGGAGGTCCCATTTTCATATGACTGGTGGGTAACTCATTTAATATTGTTTCTGCATGAGATGTTTTTCCATAATATTTCAATATATA